CCCCTCCCCTCCCCTTCCCTTCCTCTGCTCTGGACACCCCATCTCCGTCGAGCCGGGCGCCCCATCCACCTCTACGGGCGGCGGCGGCGTAGCAAGGTCAGTGAGAAATGGCGCCGCCCGGGTCGCGCCGGTGGGCGTACGTGCGGATCATGGCCGGCACCATCCTCGGCGGCGGCCTCGGCTTCTACGTCATGCACCGCATCGAGACCTCCTACAAGGCACGCCGACCCCCGCCATACCCGTCCCCCGTCCAACCTACCTACCGCGATTTGCAAATCATTTTGGTCGAAGCCGCCGCGCTCACGTCCGCTCTTGCAGGTGAGGATGGAGGAGAGGCTGCGGAGGTACGAGGCGCACTTGCTCGCCAAGGAGAAGGAGGCGCAGCAGCTCCAGGACGAGGGGCGCCGCGAGGACCAGGCGCAGGTCTTGCCGGACTCGTGATTTCCTCTCATCCTGTTGTTCCGGCTCGCCTTCCCGAGCTGTTAGGTGAGTAGTACTACTTGTAACTACCATGCCTCTTTGATAGATGTGTACTTGTGTGGTATGAACTGCATCATAAATTTCGGAGCCTGATGCCAAAATTCAGAGCTGTTTGTATTGCCTGTTAGTACCTTGGTCTACTGTCCGGATTTAAGCTTTAGCACTCCAATTTGCCTGCGGTTATCTGATCCAGCCGAAAACCAAATGTAAATGTGCGCTATGCCTTGCTACCATCTAGCTATGTCAGATTGTCAGTATCATTGTTGTCGCAACCTGCCTAGTGCTTCAGTTCTTTGAGGTTCAGGTATACAATGTGGAACAAGTCGCTGAGGCTCGTTATAAGTCTGGCTTAATCTACTAGTGTCGGCATTGCCATTACCACACTGGTGGATTAGGCACATAGAAAATCAACAAATTTGGTCATTTTTGGCAGTGCTGATAGCTCTGGCAGTGGCACTTGGCATGGCCGCATGATTGGCGTGCTGAAGTTTTAGGACCCCATTTGGGTCCAACTAATAAAAATAAATGAATTGTTCAAGTTAAGAGTTCGAGCTTGTGTATAAACAGAAAATTGTCAGAACTCCCTCCAGGTTGACGACCATGGCAACTGAATTTGTTTTTTAATGTGACCAGAGGCACTGCATTAATGGCAATGGCAATTATGTAGGGGTTACCCTACAAAGGTTATCTCAAGCTGTCAGCTGCCTCACAATAGCACTTCTTCGTGAACGTAATGGCGAAACCACAAAATACAAACATATTTCAAGTAACACATAAAAGACGACAAGTTTCTAAAGTTCTTTGTCACGACATCCAATTTGGTTATGTGGAGAACATCATATAAAAATGTATTGGTTTGTTGGAAGTTGTAAGCACATACAATTATGAACACATTAGCAATAAAATGTATCTGTGCTTCATGCATGCCAGCAGTTCATTTGAAAGAGTGGGCTGGTAATTAAGCAGATAGAGAATTTCAGGTATCCATATACTGGCAAGACAAGAATCAGGTATGCAATGTAACATAGAGAGACATAATCGAACTAGATAAGCTTTTTCATGGTGAACAACAAGTAATTTGTACGTGTCTAGCTTTTCAGTTATGGGTTGTATCTCCATGCAAAAATAGGGGGCTTGATTAACCTATATGTGGGTTCGAGCTGTTGAAGACGATTCCTGGCTCCTGCACTTTCAGTTGCCAATATACATAATAATATGTAGACAAAAGAAATTGAACTGATTTTTTAAGGAGTAGTGCTCTTTTTTTCCGAAAGGTATCTGTTGTCCAACATACGAGAAGTGGCAATGCTGTAAAGTATCAGATAATTGACCACGTGACACATGTGGTAAGCAATCCAAACTATTCAAAAAAAAAAGCATCAGATAATGGAAAAATCAAATGATTGACTATTGTAGATGCAACATACTCTGCATTATTAGATAGTAAAATCCAAAGGCATATAACAGAACTACAGAAGAACTCCGACGTGCCACGTAGTAGAGCACCGGCACACTTCTAACATTAAATTGCTCACAGAAGCACCCTGAAGACTACAATTTTCTCATTGTTAAAGTTCTCATAAAAGCTTTTGATGATGCTAAAAAAACCAAGAGGAATACCAAAAGGTTTGTACATGACTTTTTCTGTTTCAGCAATATTTCTTGCCATGACTCATCCGAAAGCCCACGTGATAGCTTTTCTCATTACATCCTGAACATGCAAACCAGTATAGCATAATCCACTATTCATGCATGTCTATTTGCAGAACATAACCTGACGTGTTGGATATCTGCCATCAGGAGCTTTGTAGGAGTTCATTCTTCTTTTGAACAATTTTGTAGTAATACTTCTGGAAGAATTCGCCATGTTGAACAGACTGCTATTCATTCTGCATATTTGCTCTCGCATAGCCCAAGCACATTCAGTTGGATTTGAACCAACTACTTTTCATTCATTCATTCATTCATGTCTATTTGCAGAACATAATCTAGCGGCTCAAAGCTTCTTGAGAGGTGTGCCTCTTGCGTCTATGGTCGTTTTGTGAACATGAAGAGATAATTTTTCTTCCCCTTTTCTTTGTGGAGAAAGAGTGTGCACCAGTTGGAAGTTGAGCCTAACTGCAACTCTGCAAGTACTGTAAGATTCGGACCCTGCTGTGTGAAAACGGATCGTAGCTGTATGAGTATGCTTCGAGGGCAATTCGGAGTATGTTGTAACCTTCCAAAAGCGTTTCCTCTGTGTGCTCGTTTTCTCCCGCACGTCGTGCTCCCGTCGTTATAAGATCCACGCGGCACCGGCACCCGGCAAAAGGACTCGACCAGTCGCTGGAGCCCTTGCCCCGGATCATGGAGCGCCTCCGACGCTGCCAAGAGTGCCTCCATCCCCTGGAGATGGAGAGGGTGGCGGTCGGGCGGTGCGGCCACCGAAACATCTGCTCAGAGTGCTCACTGACGGACCGCTGTCGCCGCAAGCTTACATGCCCGTCTTGCGGCGCCCGCTGCCCCACCGTCCTCATCACCCGTGCGACGGAGATGACCGGGGATAGCGCCGTCCTCCGCTGGACGAGGCCGGCGGCGTCCAGGGAGGGACGCGTTGGCAAGTACTGGTACCACAAAGCGTCGACATCGTATTTCGACGATGAGGAGCAGTACAAGCTAGCCAAGTTGTGCCTCCCAGATGAGGCCATGAAAAAAACTGGGGCAGGCGCATGTACGTGCACAATTATGTGAGATCCAAATGTACTACTTGGTACTTTGTGCCACCGATGATAATAATAATCATGTTTTTTTTCTTTTTGCAACTACTACATTTTCCTTTGGATCGAGACGCGCAATTTCGAGAAGAAAATCGCAGGTCCACGTAGAGATCGTCGGAAACCGGCGAGTTTTATAGGTTCATCTGTTCGCTAGTAGTAGTATGTTCCTCCTGTGGCACGCAGATGTAAAATCCCCTCGGTGAATACCGCGTCCTCCCATATGTCTGGATTTGAACCCCTCGGCCGAGATGAAAAATGTCTGGATTTGACTGTCAGCCGATCTCGGCCGTGAAACCGTGGAAGTTGTACTCTGATAAGATTATAAATTGTTCAGAGATTGTAAGTTGTTCAGAGATTGTAAATTGTAATAGTTTAATCTCCTATCATTACTGAATTCAGGCATATTTGACATAATAAAGACTTCAAAACTAAGATTGTTTCTCTGATTCCTTTGAAAAATAAATATGGATCATAGATACTCCCTTTATAAACTAATATAAGAGCTTTTAGATCACTATTTTAGTATTCTAAACATTTTTATATTAGCTTACGTAGGGAGTACTTCAAAACTGTGATGTCTGTGATGACAGCAGAGACTTCAAAACTGAGATTGTTTTGCTTATTATTGACAGGTACTTGTAAACAAAAAAAATTGAATCCATACATTGTACAGATTACGAAGGGATCTATCTTTACTTGCAATCGGACTACTATATAATCCCCTTCTGGCATGCACACATGTAGTATACATGTTTGAGCATTTGTCATGAAAATGCTCTTTAGAGCATCTACAGCCACGGACAGCAATTCCGGCCCCTCAAATGGGCACTGATCGGGCACCCCTCAAATAATGTAATTTACATTCGAACGCCTCAATTTTCATATCTCAAATCCATACAAACTCATGCAACTACGTCACACACGCATTGTCCGGCTACTCCGTCATTACTAACTAAACATGTCATCGGACTACCAAAATTTAGTATGTTTGGCTATGGTGAAGATCATCCACGACTGCCCTTGCCCTTCTCGGCGCCCTTGTCGTCCTTCTCGCGGAAGTAGCGGTCGAAGACGCGGTAGGGATCTCGCTGGATCTGCTCGTCGCCGGATGGGACTCATACTCTGCCCGACCGGTGATGGGGAAGGAGAGGTTATCCGGCTGCCGGGACCGCGATATCCAGTCCCGGAGGACCCGAGCGCCCGTTGAGCCGACACGACGGAGTCACGGCGGACAGATCCGTCCGTTGGCCAGGCGCTGTCCTCCCGGGAGCGGCGGAGTGTAATGCGGACCGCCATTGCCTCCTCCAACCCGCACGGGATGGCACCCAGTCGACGGATCCGGACTGATCAGAGTCAGATCCGCCGCCCGCCATGCCGGAGACGGCAGGAGACTGCCGGAGATGAGCTCGGGTAGCGAAGGGGAGTAGAGGGAAATGGACTGAAGTGGCTTGGGTCTGGTCCGACGAGCGGATGGGGAGGAATATATGTGGGGTCGGGTGGGCCACCGTGGGCCGGGTCCAACGTAGCGGGCGTGCCCGGGTACCCCTATATCCGCCACATATTTAGACTGGATATAGGATGTGCCGGTTAGTCCGGGGGTTGGAGGGTCGTTTGAGACGCCCATTTGGGTAAAAAATCGCGACCGGACAGTGATCGGGCGGTCCATTCAGACGTATGAGACGGGTTTGAGAGGTCCGATTGTAGATGCTCTTATATCTTGGGTCAATGGATGTCGAACTACAATCGTGTTTTGGCATGCACATGTAGAAACATGTTCTGCTCCTATGCACCACGTGAAGAACAATTGAGGGCATCCATATTTCAGAAACAATCTTCATTATTTAACATATTCATCTACAAATATCTCACTGGGCACAACGAACACACTTGATTCTGTCAATAGAAAATTTCCATGGATCTACAGTTTAATCACCACACTACTACTTTCTACATCCTTCATCTGACACATCGTCACTGAAATAGGCATTGCACAGCCTGTTAATCTCCATAGAACAACACATCTCCATAGATCGATGACATCGACTCAGATGATGTGGATCATGTAGCGGGGAAATAGATGGCATTTGAATTGAGTAAAATTTATGTGTGGGTCTACTTGATGATGTGGATAACATGCATGTCAAGAGAAATAATACAGTGTGAATGAACTATTTAGGTATTATAGATTACTAATAGAATGCCCGTGCGTTGCCACGGGCTTTTTAGTTTTTTTTAAATTGCACGTATATAAAAACTTAGTGAAATTTTGGCCACATCCAACAACGTTTCCTCGGGTCCGTTGTCGATGGATTATTTTGTAACGTCAACATAACCATCTTCATCTCTCTCATACTTTGTGAAAATAAACACAGAGGAATACACCTTTTGTATTATCATGTGCAACATATATATAAAGAAAAACAATTAACTGTACGCATATCTTCTGATTGTGTAGAACTTGATAAGTATTTAGTCCGGTCCATCATAGTTACACAGTGATTTTGTCAATTGACATTTTCAAAGTAGCAGCTGAAGACATTGGTTTTCATCTTTGATCTACGAAAATGAACATATAAAGAGTGAGGCGTTCTGGCTCTCGGCCTCCACGGGGGCCTTTTTTTTTGAAAAATTCAAATTTCAAACTTGTGAGTTTCAAAAAAATCTGAACTTTTTTTGTACAAGTAAACAAGGATGTTTTGTGTATGTGTGTAAAATTTTAGAATGAAATAGCTTGAAATGCGATCTGTACAAAAAAGACAAATTCATGGCTTTTTTGGATGAATAGTATCATGTGTTAAAAAGGCTCAAATTTGTCTTTTTTGCACAACCCTGATTTCAACGTATTCTGTCCTGAAAATTTACACACTTGTGCATTACGTGGAGGCCGTTTTTCTTGAAAAATTCAAATTTCAAACTTGTGAGTTTAAAAAAAACTGACCTTTTTTGTACAAGGAACAAGGATGTTCTGTGTATGTGTGTAAAATTTCAGAATGAAATAGCTTGAAATGCGATCTGTACAAAAAAGATAAATTCATGGCCTTGGAGGATGAATAGTATCATGTGTTAAAAATGCTCAAATTTGTCTTTTTTGCACAGCCCTCATTTCAACGTATTATGTCCTGAAAATTTACACAATTGTGAATTATTTGAAATGTAAAAAAAACATGAATTTTGATTCATTTTGGATTTTTTAAAAACCAGCCTCATTGGAGCTCGGCCTCCAAAAGGGATTTTCGCATATACTAAGAAAAATAAGCTAATACATAATATATATTCATTGATTAGCTGCTAGATGTAAGCGTGGACCCTGCTTTCTAGTAGAGTGAGTTGCATCCCAATTATAATAAATTGTAGGCTCACCTAAAATCAATTTTTTGATAATTATTCTTTAGAAATGGCTTGTTATGGTATCTGATATTTTTTTTACTATATAAAATAGTATGTGACATTTTTTTCATAACAAACCGTCACTTTTCCCTAACAAGTATGTGATATTTTCACCATATAAAAAGTATCGCTCATTTTTCTTCGTATCTTACAAAAGCAATTCACTCTTTCTTAGGCATACCGCATGGCACAAGGCTCACACTCACATCTCATTCCTCCGGCCTGCTCTTCCCTCCATGACATCTACGCCGCCATATCTCCCTGCCACGGCTTCTCACTGTCGCCTCCCCTCGACACCACAACATTCAGCTCACACCTTTCTTCCACGGCCGTCTCCCTTTCCCTTCACGGCGTCACCCAACCTCTCCTCTAACCTCCATGGCGTCCCTTGCCGATTCTTGGTGCAAGGAGTGCACAATGTCATAGCCAACTGCTTGAAGGCCTGGAGGTGTCTCTTTCAAGTGGAGGTAGCTAGGAGCTGGCAGAGCCGACGATGGCATCGATCCATACGTGACCGCATCATTGTGTTTCTTCCCACGGTCTCACGGTCTGGAAGGCGAAACACGATTTATGTGTATGTATATATACACATAAAACGTATAACTACCGAACAGACGTGGGCTCTGATAGTTATTTTAGAAATACATCTGGGGTTGGACGTGTTGCACCAATGCTATTGCTGAATCAAGCAATTAATCGGTAATTGGTTTCCATGCACTGGACCTCATATGCCGGCACAAACAAAAAATAGCCATGGACTGGATTGGGACATATGAAACATACGAAAATCTGAAAGGAAGAAACACTCCTTCCTTTGAAAATAAAATATTATGCTAGCTAAGTGCCCGTCTCTTCTGTTATCTTCTATATCTAAATAGCTAGCCCCCACTAACTATTTTTCTCAACATGCAAGCATGCCACATCATTGCACAACATGCATGAGAAAAGGCCCACCCCCACTATCATATGTCTCTCAACATGCAAGCATGCCACTTCATCATGACATGCATGAAAAAAAGACTTATCTCAACATGTAACATACATGAGGGTTTTCATTCTATTATGCTATATACATTTAATAAACATTTTACAACTATATAGTAATCAAGCACAATAAATTATATGTATTTTTATTGTTAGCTTCTTATATTATTACTTCAAATATTCATGTTTCATACAACGAGTCACATTGAAATATGTTGCAAAATATTCCCGCAACAACGTGCGGGGTATCATCTAGTTAGAATAACATCAAGATCAATCACACGATCATACTAAAACACATAACTGATCCCCGCGTCGCCCGCATCTGGCGACACGGGGGAAACCTCGACCGCCGGCGGAAGCCCCGCCCTCCACCACCTCCGCTGCTTCGCCGCTGCCGGAGGGCCGGCCGGGGAACCCGCGCCGTGCCTGGGGATGGCGGCGGGGCGGTTTTTGGTCTCCCTGGCGTCGGAGGCCCCTTCCCCGCGCCCCAGATCCGATCTGGCGCACGGCGGCCTTCCCTCCTCCAACAGCTGCCCTCTCCCCTGCCTGTCCGGCGC